AAATGCTTCAATGAATCTATCTTTAAAATGAATTCAGTAAAATATGGAATAATTAATCACAATCGAGCAAAAACTCCATTAAGTCTTCTACGAAGGTCTGATACTATCAAGAAACCTAAAATTTCATATTTTATTTCAACTACACGTATTTTCTGATATAAGCTCCACAACATAGTTTTCTACATTTACATTAAATGTATTACAGCCCCAGCTCATGACAATAAGTCGAAAATGGAGACCAACAAAACACATTCTAGTCCTAAAAGACATCAAGATGACAACTGGAAAATTTTAGTAAATAAATTCGCAAATATCAGTGTTGTATGAGTTAAAACTTAGTATTGTACCAACAGGAGCATTTTAACAACATCTAATTTTTTTAATGTTATTTCTCTTTATCACCGTTTCAAGAATTTCTATATCGGTGAACAATTATGAATCCGTTGCTGCGATTCGTTAGGATGATTTTTACATAGAGAAAGAAGATGTTGAGTAATTAATTCATTTAATTTAAAAAAAGAGGGTATGAATGTGGATTTCTCTTCTTTTCATCAATGCCCAGACCCACACTGGTACTGACAATCACACCCACATCTTCGAATATAGGAGTTTATTTATAATGATGTTAAATATAAAATTAATTCAGAAAATATTTCAATAAAGCTAATTAATAGTGACATATTCAAAATGACACATTGGAGTATAAGTGGTGTAGGGTCATTTTTACTTTCATTTGATTGAATACGTATATGTCTTTTATGCAGATCAAGACAAGAGAAGTAAAAGGAATGTTTATTTAATAAGAGAGGATGTGTATGTGTAGTTACGTTTACGTGAGATAATCCTCTCTTCAATTGCATCCATACACAAGTTGAATTTCTTTATGAATAAAAGAATAAATAATTGATAAATCAGAATCATTTATTTGAATAAGAAAAAAAAGAAAGTTTGATAAAATGCCCTGCCAGATGAATGGCAAATATCATTGAAACGATTATTGTAAAGTATCAAAAGTAATCTTATTAATATATTCTGACAACTTGTTAAAAATCTATACAGTAGCAAAAATTCGAAATTTATCATCTTCTTCTATACATTGAATTCGATTGAAACACGATCGAATTTGGTGTATGTTAGTTAAGTTACCGCTTCTATCATTAATGGTCAACATTTCTTTGACATAGCAATCGAATTTAGACAAATAATATAATCGATTGGCTAAACCATGAACTAAATCAATAAACTGCATAGGATATATGGTTTGTAAATACAAGTATTTAATATTGGGTGTATTAGTAAGAAAATTATCGATATCATTAAAAGTTAGTTCGGTATTATCACTCCAAAGAGTCAATCGTTGAAGTGGATGATTAAATGGTGGGAACAATGTGACAATATCATTATTTTTATACGAAATATGTACTTGAAGATGATAAAGATTGGGACATGAGGCAAGAATGGCTAGAAAAGACATTGGTTTACAAGAAAGAATTGACAGAAATTGAAGAGAAGGTGATTTAGTCCATGATTCACAAGTGGATTCGTCTATACAGCCCAAATTAACGTGACGAAGAGATGGAAATCTATTGGAGAATATATCACAAATTAATTGTTTTGGCGGTGTAAAATTAGATCCTAAGAAAAAAGATAGGCGCATCAGATTGGGCATGATATTAGGTTGAATTTGTGGAAGATGCTGTGAGTTTTCAACACATAATATCAATGCATGTAAATTGTGAAATTCATTAAAATCATAGTTAATCAATGTGCGAATTATCAAACGATTTACATAAGGTGCATAGAATTTCATCAATACTGGATCAATTTTATCATCGACATTTAGAGGTAGATTTTGACATGATCCGAAAATACTGTTCAGTCGTGAATTGAGTCCCCAAAAAGCACTATATAAGTGAAGAATGTCGATGAAACTGAATAAATAGTAAAATAATTCATTTGGGAGTTCTTCAAGTTTAGTATATGTACCTAAAAGATGTAAAAAATAAATGAAATTCAATCTTTAGTAGGACAATAGATTATTATGTTTTGAAATCTTCATTTTTTATAAACAAATCATTTTGATCAATTCTAATGAATAAGAAACCATTTTTGGGGTGATATTGTCATAGTATTTGAGTCTTATAATACTCAATACTGTTTTAGTATAGTGTCATGCAACTTGTCGAATCTGTTCAGGTACGGAGTATAGTCTCATATTCGAACGCAAATAGACGGTTTATGATGTCGTAACATTTACCGATATTTTTATTGTTTCAAACTGCTGTATATATAAAAGCATAGCAGTCTAAAAAATTCCTTTTTAATGAAAATTCGTCTACTAATTATTATGAACCATATAATGAAATAATAGAAGCAGAAAAGTATCGGCCGGGTGTCGATTAGTTCCGTTCGGGGACTGTGTACAATAATTCGGATTCGGTTACAAAAACTGTCCCTGTGCAGAACACTATTTTAAGAATGATGTTAGATAGTATCTCCATTTAAGAGTATGCTTCATGATGAAAAAAATGAATGCAGTTTATCGGTTGAAGATATTTTTATGATTGGTGATTTAAAGATTTTAGTTTTTTTGTTGATTATTATATTAAGTTGTAACTTACGGTCTTGAATGTACTGAACAGCATCAATACTTTGCCTCAATATGGTATCATCATTTGCATTCTTTATAATAATTTGAGCTCGTATTTTATCTGTTTCCAGCATCTAAAAAAAAAGTTAATCGTTTTTTCTCAGAATATCTTGTGTTCGAGCATTCAATTATAAAAACTATAAAATTCAACTTTCATTTTTTATCTTCTGTGATTGTATAGTTGAATTTTATTATGAATTCATACAATCATTGACAAATAATCCACTCATTTAAATAGCTTATACCTGAGGTGATTGTTGCGAAGATAATGTAGTGTTCGTATCGAAGACTGCTACAGACTTATCATATGTAGTGCCAAGCTTTGGATTTGCAGTTGAATCTAAAGTATTTTGTCTTTTTCTCAGAAACGAATCCGTTAACATACTGAAAGCGATACTGATTCCTGATACAATCGAAGATGTCTTCAACTTTTCACAATCTCTTCGCGAACCTAAAAATAAATGAAATTCTTTTTAAATAATCTTCATGTTTAATAACAATATACCTATAAAAATAATTTGTCCTTTTCGATATTGTCCTTCTGCTTCGATAAAACAGATATCATTTACATTAGTAAATTCAGGTGATTTGAAAATCGCAGACTGAGGTACCGTAGAAACAATGCTATTATTTTCCCAATGAATAGCACAAAATATTTCATTACTAATAGAAACTGCTGGCGTATCTGTATTGAAATCTGACGCTACAATTAAATGGATAATTACAATAATAATAACTAAACTACAAAGTGATAATTAAATGTATGTTATTTACTTGTTGTTGCATAGACAGGTTTTAAACGTTGAATAATTGGAAGATCATTATGAAAAAGTTTGTTATTTTCTTTATAGTGTGCATATGTGGCTGGACTACAGACAAGCATTTGAACTGGAAGATGTCTTTCAGTATGAAAACGGTGCGTGAGTTGATCATGAGTATCACTCTCGACATTGACACCGTTAAAAGAGATGATTCGATCATAGTCTTTTAGTCCTGCTCGGCGAGCTAAACTTGATGGTAAAGTGTCAGTTAGTTTAATATAATGGAAACGGTGTTGCGTTAAATAATTAAAATAAACACCTATTTTCTGTTGTGGTATGGCGCGCTGCATTGTACACAGTCGAATGTCATCATTTTTGTACAAGAAATCGATGTTTCTATCAATAGCAGCACCTATACGTACATGAAAAAATGATTTGAAAACGAAAAAATGTCTGATCATTTATTCAACTGTTCACTTTAAAAAAATTCTGATTGTAGAACTCATAAATCGTTTTCCATGGTTTAAACTTTTTCATGATTTCATTTTATTTATTAGAATATTTGATATTAGTTTTCTACTTTTTTCATTGTCTTTGTTTGCATGTATGCAATTTTGAAGTTAAGAAAGATGTTTTAGTTATACTAGTAGTGACTATAACAGCTATACTTTTACAAGTTCATGTTAAGACGTTGACTACTTAATCAAAATATTGGTAAAACACTTCATCATCCAAATAATAAATCTTTGAAAATTATAAAGCTCATGCATGCAGAACTCGAAAAGTTGTTCGACTATTCAACTTGAAATATCCAAATTTTTATCTAGTGATCTTAAAGGAATCCTGTGGCGATTTACAGGGAATCTCAAGACAGTCGTAGGAGAACCTTTGAGATATTCGTAGGGGATATACAAGGAGTCGAGAAGGAATCACCAAGAATTCCTCAGTAGACCGATTATAGACCTCTGAACGATCTCTAGAGGTTAGCTATGCATTATTTGAGATTCTAATAGACACTTTGGAGATTCCATAGAGTTTTCTGACGACCTATAGAAGCTTCAAAGAGTCTCCTAGAAATTCTCTTAGAATCATCTGAATATTGGATAAGAATTTGTTCAAAATCTTCAATGAATGTGTGGATATCAACTAAGAGTTCGTGGAAACCCCAAGTGAGGCTGTGAATAACATTGAGATATCCATCGGAGATCTCCTGTGACACACTTATGAGCTTCTGGGGAGCCCTTGGAAAGCCTATGTATAATGCTCGAGAGTCCTTTTTCGAATACTGAGAAGATTGAGGTGTGGATGCTTTGCTTAGATACATAGCTGATTGGTAAAACATGGATGATGAATTCAGAAATTACTACTACATATGGGTGTTACGAAATAGTTAGAAAATCGAATATTCTTGTTATAATTTTTCATAGTTGAATAATTGACGAAGAAGTTTAGAAGGCGTAACGAATTAACGGCTTCTACACTTCAGATAAAGTTTTACTGACTAGTCAAAAACTAATGAATATAGAAAACTTTTATTATCGATTCTTTTTCTTGTTGATTATTTAATTCAGTTCAGCAGAAAAATAAATTTAAAAAATTGGCCTTTTCTTACTATAATGTTCTTCTATCCATTCTTGAATCATTCTGGGTGGATCTATTCCCCATCCAGATGTCAGTATAATTTGATCTCGATTATTAAGATATTGAATTATACTACCAAATTTTGTGATATCGGCCGTTGTATTTTGTGGATGAGCATTTAGATCAGCAATTTGGCTAGCAGGAACAAGAATACAATGCCATGCTGGTCTTCCTCTATCTGTGCCACGAAGAATGAATGCACATTCGCTATACGTTTGTTTTGTTACTATTGCTTTAGGCCAATCTTCATAGGTTGTAAGTGTCTTCTGCAAAAACATAATAAAAATGAACTAAAGATCTTTGCTTTATTAATCAGAACAATCAAATGTTGTTATTCTCTATCTTAATAAAATGGTAGTGAAGTGGATGACTCTAAATTTTTTTGTAAATGTATATATTTAAAGAGAATATATGATAAGGGAAAAACATTCATTGTTGAGTTTTTATTTATTTAAATATTCACAATAAATATTTTTCAACTAGAACATTACCTGTAATTTTGTGTAACGTTTTGCCATCGAATCAAATCAAAAGCTTCTTCTATTGAAAAAGATCAAACTATATAACTAACTATTCTTCTTCGAGCTTTATTATAAACCATAATCGTTGTGAACAATCAGCTGATGAATAAGAAACGTCACTAACGAAAACGAATGTTGTATATTACCAATGACAAACAGAAAACATTAACTGCGTAGTCGGTTGGTTAATCTACCTGTTTTGTCAATAATACGATAAAAGATGATGAATTGTCTTTCATATTCTGTAAAATACAGAGTTTTTATAATATGACTATGTCAACAATAATAAATTATTTTTTTATTTGTTAAGTCATATCATGAGAAAACGATTACATTAGAAGTTTTATCGAGCAAAAAAATAGATTTATATTGAATCATTATGTTAACAGGTATGCGTAGCAGCCTTTCGATTACTTAAGTACACAAACACGTGTTTTACTTGATTATAACAAGGATTTTTTTTAATGCAAAATCAAGCAATAATTAGAAAAACTGATGACAACGTATTTTATTTTTTTATTGATTCGCTATAAAACTTAGGGTGCATGGGTGTGAGTGTATTAGTCTTTTAGTCGCCCACATCCATACCCAAGATTGAGCAACTTGAAACTAAATACTCTTTTACTTATACTGCCATGCTTGTTATTAGTTCTCGAGGGCAATAAAACACGCATATTGACATGTCTACCAAGGTTGCCAGTTTGCTCACATACCTCTTTCAAAAATTGATAATACTAACAACGATATTCATTATTATGACAGTTGATAAATAGAATAGAAGGTCAATTCACTTTTAGATGAGTGATATAAAGTGAAAAAGATTATGAGGTCTTTGTAAAAATGAGTTGAATATTAGTATACTGAAGCTATTATCCATTTCAAAAGATAAGCAGAGTGAGTATTTCTAGAATATTTTTTGGTAAGAGCCAGACAGAGATGTCGGAAGTTTTCACTATTTAAACGAGAAGATGAAACTGCATAGAATTGAATATATCAGATTTTTTCTCATAAGTTTCCTCAAAGTCTTCCGTTAAATTTCTTACAAATCAAGACTTTTAAATATGTTTATAAGGCGAATTCTTCGTCGAAAAAAATCAGAAGAAACGTCAATCCTTCGTGAAAAATATGTTGATGAGACTTAGTAAAAATGTTTATAATTCATAACTGAATAAATTTTATGACATTTGGCTTACATAGTCTACAGATCTTCAGTTAATAATTCTAGTTCACTCCTGAAAATTGAGATCTCAAAACTTTTACATTAAACAATATTTCTTTTTCAATAAACTTGATGGTAAACTCTGATGAAATCCGTCAGAAAAAAACTGCTATATACGATTCGATACAGTTTCATCTCATCTTTTTAACAGTGATATCCATAGGTTTCTATATTGTTCCTTTCAAAAAGTTATTTCAAAAATATTCACCCCTCTTTTATTTGGAAATAGCTAATAGAATATAATTAGAAATTATTCGATATACTTAAGACAACATGTAATCAGAGTGGTAAAAAGATGTCATTGTTTTTAGATTTTGTTGTTTTGAACTTTGATATTATCTCTGAAATTCTACACGATTCGAATATGATTTTTCTGAAAGAATTATCAAAAGAAATTTTCTTTTCTTTCGAAATATATTCAATCTGTTCTATCTAATCCTGCAACAACAACTAATATAGAAATCGAATTGTCTACTATTGGCTGGATCTACAATGAGACAGAAGCAAACTTTCAATAAGATAGATTAGAAAACATTTTATTAGTATGATCAGTAGAAAAGAATTTTTATAAAAAAAGTTATTTGTCTTCGTTTTAACTTGTTTGTTTCTTAATCATGATGGTTATCTCACTTTTTGTTGTTTTTTTTTTTGAAAAATATTTTTTTCACATCAAATTCTATAGTAAGGCGTGTGCGTAAATATGGATGCTGCTGAAGAGAAGACTTTTACCTACTCAACAATCAGCACAACACCAATACACTCTCATAGAAAGTTTTGCGTTAAAAATATGAAAAAGAATAGCATGTCGTTCACATGCCTACTGTAAACATACAATACCTAGAATGGCTTTTTTCTGAATGATAAAAGAGTGATCCAAGTTTTTATTCTTAAAAAAAGAACCGCAATGGACTTTAATATAGAACTTTCGTTTTTTTCCGATTTCTAAACACACTGGCAAAGAAGAATCGCTAGATGAATTTAAAGTTTTGAGACTGTATTTTGCTCGCTAGTAAGCGACCACTAGATTAGAGCAAAATTGAAATGATTCGCGTTCTTATCGAGTTTTGGTGAATTCTACCTTTATGGATTTTAGTTTTTAAATAAATTTGTATTTCTGAAGTTTGATCTGAAACGTTGCTCATATAAAGCTCTCAACAAGATCAGATTATATAAAACATTTTACAGCGTTTGAGAGTATTCTCTTTTGAATATAAATCGTTTAAAACATGCATATTTCGTATGATATCGATGGAGCAACATTTAGGTTTTAAAAGATTTATATTCTAGAAAGACTAAATTCAGAAGTTCTGTATACAATATGGTCTCATTGAGAATGCTCTATGGACAAAGTTTGTGATTAAAGTTCAAAAATACGATTTCATTTAAAAATGGTAGATCTTTATAGTAGAATTCACGAAAAATTCAATATCTCGATCAAAACTCGATAAGAGCATAAACCATCTGAAGATTGTTCGAGTCTAATGTTTCGCTATTAATGAGCAAAATATTAGCTCAAAAGCTACAGTTCATTTAGAGATTTCCATCCATCTAAAATTTGTTCAATAATTGGAAAAAAACAACTGAAGTTTTGTATCGAAATTAAAGGTTTTATTTTTGAACAGTATTTGTGAAATTCGATTTTTACGAATGAAAATTTGGATCACTGTCGCATCATTCAGGAAAAGTCAGCTCTGTTGACTATTATGACGTTGACATATGCTAATTGTTGTTCTTGTAGTAACTTTTAAGACATCTCGTGTATAACACACGGTTGATCATGCATACATTGAAATTGTTTATAATTCTCTCATTGCTCGTTGTATGGGCATAAGACTTCTTTTATTTCAAAACAAATTGAAAAGAGAAAGAGCACACATCATATATGTATCTTGGATAACATCCGCTTTCCTTCAAATCCAATGACATATTGGTGATGTTTCTTTTCTTCGAGAGGAATGAATGGAAAGATAAGATAGGTCAAAACTATTAAAAAGAACTAGAATACAACATGTGACATAAGATCATACAAGAAATAAAAAGAAATCTAACGAAGGATACATCATAGCCAATGGTCATGATAGAAAATGTGTCAATCGAATAATGCAGATGAATGTAAACATGAGTGAGTGAATAATTGTGTTCATTGCCGAGGCAATGCTTTATTCTTCACCATTTCTCTTGCCTTACGCTCGTATTCAGTCCTATTTTCCATATACTCTTTAAGTATGTCTACAGCAAAAAAAACAATTACTTAATGAAACAATCAGGAACATAAATATAAACTTACCTTGATTCATTGCATAATCGGTATTAGGATGATCAATAGCGTCAACAATAGCTCTGACTATGTCAGCCAAATGAGTATTCGGATTCCATTTATCGGCGTGCATCACAATTGGGATGCAAACCAAGCCTGTACGTACGAATACAAAAAACGAGAAAGAATTGCTTAGATGTAGTAGAGCTTTTTTAACGGTGATCTGAACAATATTTTCTGTTTGGATAGTTACTTACCATCTTTATCGACATTCACATGGTAGATAGGTGTAGTAAAGCGCACTTCTGGAGGTTTCAAAGGATACTGGTCTGAAAATTTCATTTCAAGTCTATATGCACCTTCTTTGTAGATATCAGCACTTGGAAGTACTCGTCCGGCAATGAAATTATATCCGTTGTTTGCACTAGCGGCTGTTTCTTCCTCTTGAAATGGAGATTCGTCAACAATGAATATACCCTGTGTATTGCCACTCGGAGCCAACAATCTCAACCTACTCAGTTCTGACCATGCTTGTTTTGGCAAGATTGGCATTGGAAGCGAACAGATAAAATAATCTAAAAACAGAAACAATGAATGTTCAATATTTGCATTGTGAAAGAAAATAAGACCTCTGAGACTAGTTCTTGATTTATACAGTGTGTTGCTATGAGTATTTATGTCGTTATTACTCTTATTCTATAAGAGATTGTGAGAGAGTGACTCTAAAAGGACTAGCTTCTCTTTTTTTTTTACAAAGCCATGATACTATTGAGTTTTTAAGTATATTCTATGAGTACCTTCATCCATCTCCATCAATGTAAATGAAATATTTTCCTATTATCAACTAAGAATTTCCGGAATTTAATAAAATACCTACAATTGAACATCACGAGTCGAATCGAGCTGTCTAATTCTAGGGTAATATATAAAGTAAGAAAAGCACTGATTTTATTAATATAATTTTTTTTATGACGATGGTTGTGGGTATGATAAATTTTTTCCCAGTTAGTATACGCATTTACTTACAATTTGTTTTAGTAGATAAAAAAAGAATGGTTTACAGGGGTAGAAGAGGTTTTTTGTTTTGTCGCGAATATTCGACAGCATGCGTCTACTTCCTTTCTTAACAGTATGTTTCGTTATTTTTTTTTGCTCTGCACAGGTGAAAAAAAATAGAAATAAAGAAGTACGAAATAGTTTTTTTTTTCTGTTCTCGATGTGATGATGAGTAATACGTGAGTTGATTTTTTTCCCACTTTCCTATTTTCAACACTTGTTATCAGAATGAAAGAACACTTTTTACATCTTTTGTATAACACATTTTGTTCTCAATAAAATGATATTGCTCAGTAATCAGACGTGTTTGAAGTAAAAGCTTCATAGACAATCGTGTTTTACAGAAGAATGATCCGAATTAAACACATTATTTCTTTTTTATTTCGATGATGCATGCTTCATGTTGGACGCGACCAATCACTTGATGACAGCCACCTTGCTATGAAAAAGCATGAAATATCACTATGTTAGTAATTGCTCGGTAATTGTGCAATTTCTTCATCTAAGCGTAAGACATTGTTTCTTCGTGCTGTTTATTCACATTCAAATAAAACGTGTTACATTTTGCAATGCCACGTGTTTGACGCAACACGTTTTGTTGGTTTATCGTGAATAAATTTTTCGATGATGTACTAAATGATGTGAGGATTGATACGATAAAAGTGAATGATAAAAAATTATTTAAATCCATAACACAAGACCTATTATTACAAGCTTGATCTTGTCACAGGTGTCGGTAGCACCAGTGTGGATGTGGAAGACTCTTCTTTTCACTCAGAGTCACTATCGTACTCTACCCACACCCATCTATGCTTGTTGCATGAGTGAGGATGAAAATGAAACAAAAGTTCTCGCCCTCATTTCAGCTCTTCATTATCTATTTTTTTGGTATCCGACACAACAGACATCATTCGTGGAACAATGTATTTATATTCTGGAACAACAACTCATCTCACAAGTTTATCTTATTCTGAAAGACTCGCAATTTATTCTCTTTCAAAAATTGATAATACTTAAAGATAATAGTAGTATATATGGTTAGATAATGGAGAAAGATATTGTATTTCCAGATAAACGATGCGTATAAATTTTATAGTTTCAACTGAGAGCTAATACGGAAAAGATCATCAGATCGTCATCGAATTGAGCGGTAAACTAATATGTTGAAGTTACGATATGATTAGAAATCATTCTATAGACTTTATCCACCATTTGATAACATTTTCAACGAATTTTATTGTTACTCGTTTGTTTAAATATTTTTAATTGAACGTTATCTTCGAACTCAATTCAAATTTGAACAGTTTTCCAGCATATATCATTAATTTTATGAATAGATTACATGTTGTGCTTATATTTAGAGATTGTAATAATGGATAAATGAAGAACTTATTTGTCTTTTGATAGTGGTTAAATCCAATCGTTTTCCTATCACAATCTAATATCAGCGTCACAATGTCGTTTTTTTTGAAGGACTTTTATGTCGCAGCATTCTTGTTTTCCATTATGACTAACAAAATAATTGAATCTCTACCTGCTATTTGCAGCAAGTGTGTCCAAAATTCTTTATTGAATAACTTATGATGTGATGGTAATTCAAAAAAAAATTATCATTATATTTGGTCTCTATTCAAAAATATATGTCGTGTACATGAACATAGATCGTCACAAGTCCATCTTCGGATAGAGAAACAAAATTCATTCTTTCGAAAAAACTTTCTTGAACAGATCTAACCAACTTTTAAGAAGATAAGACCGTTTTCTTGATACTCATGTAGACTTACAAGACAAATGTAACTATTTTTGTTCATAAGCTTAAATCAGATGTACAACCGTGTATTGTTGTCATCCTTCTAGAGAGCGAGATATCTTCATATTATTCTTGTTTTAATAAAGTAATTGTTGAATGTCAGCTCGAGTCTTCTCTTTTCCTACATAATAGTCTTGGTGTGTGCGGTTAATTCTACTTAATCTTGAGCCCCTTCCCTCCCCCTTCCCCTTCAAAAAAATTCACTTTTCATCAGAAATGGTCGAAATTAAGATAAATATATAGAAAGATAGTCCGTCATTTGGTCTTTCATAAATGACAAAAAATTTTCATAGGCACCTCGTTGTTTTTGTAAAAATGCTTGAAGATTTCTGTCGATTCCTATTGAAAAAATAAGCCATTCTTGAAAAAAATCAAAAGTCTTTTTCTTTTATTCTCAGTGCATAGCTTCTTGATCGCGCAAACCAAATTTCTCTGTCGATATTCATTCGATGTATTTTTCTTTTTTGTTTGAAAGAGCGCGTCAAGATGCAGTGCAGTATAGAGCGCATTTTTTTAAATTAAGCTTATTATTATTATATATAGACACTTATGTAACTCGACATCCATTTTTAAGGGTATTTTGAGTCATTGAACTTTCGGCCCCTTTTTTCCCTAAAAAAGTAAATATTTAAAAAAATGGGCTCTGTACTGCATTGCATCCTGACATGCTCTTTCAAACAAAAAAAATTCTAACACATTACACGAATCTGGACTGAGAAATTTGGTTTGCCAAATGAGTTATTTTTTACCCTTGTTTGGTCAGTATCTCGTTCAAACACCATGGTATAGGGCTAAAAATTTTACGATAGCTTTTCCACAACAGTCCCGACATATCCTGAAAATTTCGTGCCATTTGAACGTTCCTAGGCTGAGATCGATTTTTGAGGGGAGAGGACTTAAGTAATATGTTTGTCACAAAATGGTTGTTGACAACTGCCATTACATGTAATCACAGCATCCATTTTTCGGATCTTTAGCGCATAGATTTTTTGCTGGAATTAATAGCATATTTTATTTTTCTCTGAAAAGAACCGCTTTACTAAGCGAAGAGAGAATAAGAAACATTTATTCGAGAGAAAAAAACTTCGACAGTTAAAGACAGACGAGAAAAAAAATGTGCCTAGTAATTGGAATGAATATTGTTATAGGTATGCGATAGTATATCGCAACTACTGGTGCAATTATTAATTAATATGTATTAAACTCGACGTTTGAAGCTCGCATATGATTATTGGATGTATGTTTTTATTTTAGTTATTACATTTTCTTTACTCACAGTTTGTTATGATACATATGAACGAACTGACGATGATATTCCATACAAAGTTAGCAAATTATAAAACAAGTCTATTGTTTATTTCTTTCAATTGTGTTAGCATACAACTCGTTTTGTTTTTCTCTGTTAACATAAGATTGATACATGAGCAAACTATTTTTAGTTTAAACGATTTTAGAAAAAAAAAGATAGCCATATTAATCATTTAGGACTCTGAAGCCAATAGGAAAGATGAAGAAAAATTACTGCATTCGGTAGAAAAACTGATGAACCTTGAATGTTTCTAAATTTGTTTGGTGGCTCCGAGGCGTTTCTCATCGAAAAGAACAGAAAATTTGTGACAAGTGAGTGGGAAAATCGGATCTGGACTTTCGTACTAGGCTTTTTATGACTTCTAGTAAAGTTCATGAACCAAAATCGTTTCGATCGAAAAACCAACTATATATTTCTTTCATAATATCATTAATATTTCTACTTTACCTATAATTCATTTAGCTGAAGACACATGAAATAATCAAGTCAAAATCGAGGGTGGATGTGAATTGGTGTGAGTCTTCGCCATCACAATATTCACACCCTCACCCACATCCTTTTATATTTCGTGACAAACATTACAGACTATATATAGGGCAGGAGATCGCACATCGTTAGGTAGTATCCATTGGATGGTGGGATACATCTCATGAGATCCAATACATATGAGAAGATAACGGATAGAGAAAGAAGGAAAAAGACCAAACGTATGTGATGGAAAGAAATGAAAAAATCCAAATAAATATGACATGTGTACTATGTCATAGTTATCAGCTGTGTGTAAAAATAGAGTGAAAAACGAAAGGAAAGAAAGCACAAGTCAATCACACTATAGCACATTTCGATTTCTATATTTACTCTTTGACTTAACTGACTGTTGATTTATTTTATTTACCGATCTTAAAATTTATGAAAGAAGCTGTTTATTTGATAACTAATCATTTACGTAGTTTACAGA